TTTATTTTATGACCAAAGCTAATTTTTTCCGTTTTCCTTAATCTTGGTACTTCTACATTAGTTACTGTTTAAGTAAACAATCTTCAGTGTGTTGCACTACCGTTTATTTTATGACCAAAGCTGATTTTTTTCTGTTTTCCTTAATCTCGGTACTTCTACATTAGTTACTGTTTAAGTAAACAATCTTCAGTGTGTTGTATTACCGTTTATTTTATGACCAAAGCTGATTTTTTCTGTTTTCCTTAATCTTGGTACTTCTACATTAGTTACTGTTTAAGTAAACAATCTTCAGTTTGTTGTACTACCGTTTATTTTATGACCAAAGCTAATTTTTTCCAGTTTTCCTTAATCTCGGTACTTCTACATTAGTTACTGTTTAAGTAAACAATCTTCAGTGTGTTGTACTACCGTTTATTTTATGACCAAAGCTGATTTTTTCTAGTTTTCCTTAACCCCGGTACTTCTACATTAGTTATTGTTTAAGTAAACAATCTTCTATTCAGGTTTAACAGTTTGTAACAAATATTTTCCCCTTAGTCTCTATTACATACTATAACTTTTCTCTACTTACCTTATCTTCCAATTCTACAAAGACATCTTCAAAGAAATTATCAAAATGTTCCTGCATCTCCTCTTCACCAACTGCAGCTGTATAAGTTAGCACTGTTTCATGTTATTACGGGTTTTCACTCTGATCAAAACATTTATTCTACAACTCACAACAAAATCAGAATAACTGATAAGTGTAATAAATGGTGTTTGCAAATAATAATTTGACTGCAGCTGTATAAGTTAGCACTGTTTTATGTTATTACGGGTTTTCACTCTGATCAAAACATTTATTCTACAACTCACAACAAAATCAGAATAACTGATAAGTGTAATAAATAGTGTTTGCAAATAATAATTTGTACTTCAAATCAGAACGATGGGCTAAATATTTCTGACACAAGTGCTTAACACTAATTAACGAGACTTTTAAGAAGCTTTGGGCAAAACTTTAGGGTTTATTATCAATTGTTCTAGGGGCAAATTTAGAAATTTAGGGACCTCGTGATTTTCTTACGACATTTCTTTTAAACAACTGTATCAGAAAATTACCTTTTTTTCGTATAAGTAGTAATAAGTAAACTCACAGACATGACTCATTTTGTTTCTTAACTGTTTTTCCTTTGAATCCTAGTCTTCAGCACTGGTTACCATTGCATACTTCATCCTTAAAAAAAAAAGAAACTAGTGCTAAAATCAGTTTATCATTTTTTATAATATGTAACTACATACTGCTTCTAGCCTAACAATTAAAAACTATCTTTTAAAACGGATGGAAAACTGAATAATACACTCAATGAAGTTGTTGTTAGTAATGGGCAAATGACTACAGTAGACTATCAAGAGGTACTTGTAAACAAATGAACTCTTACTCAAATAAAATGGCTGTCTGGGTCTAGTTTATAAGGCTATGTACCATAACTCTGACAGACATAATAAATTCATATGTTATAACCGCACTTTTATCAGTCAAATGTTAAAACATTAAAACTAAGGAACTGTTCACTGTTCATCAGTGAAACTTTCAAAGAATACAAATAGGAAGGAAAATATCTTCAAATCAAGTATGAATTAAACTGACAGAGATTAATAATAATAACTACAACAATGATGCTAAAGAGTTGGTTCTTTAAATAATCAGAAATAATAAAATAAGTGTGTTTGGTAGAAGATAGTAAAAAATTCTTCTTTAAAACCTTTTGGAATTTATTTCCTGTTCTTTTATATTCGCCATTTCGGTTCTTTCATTCTTGTTTTCGATACCTCATTTAACCCTCTCGCTATAGGCTGGGTCAATGTGACCAACCTTGTAATCCTAAAGTAACCATCAGAGTTTCCATACTACAGCTTTTAATATGTTTTGTCTATCTTCATGAAACATTATAAGCATTTTGTACACAAAAATTCAGATTTTTTAATTGTCTTTTACTAAATATTTTTCCATGAATATAAGGAATCAGTGTTGACTACTCCGAGTGCAAATCAATTTTTATGTTAAAATTAAAAATACTTTTCTTCACATGAAAATTGTCAAATTTCATTTCTGTAATCTTTAAAACCTGCTAAACAAAAATCAGTTTTTTATCAGTAAAACCTTATATTTTATCTTTTATTTTCTCTACCCTAACTCTATACACATTTGGTCAATTTGACCAACCTCGTAACCACTACATAAAAATACAAAATAAATCTAAATTACCTCTTTCTTTCTAGGATGACTGTAACTTGTAACACAAAACTAAAATTATTTGTAGGTAATTTTAGTGTATTATTACACTTTTACATACGTGTAACAAATAATACCACCACACAAGTAGTAAATCAATTAGCAAATGAGTAGATCATGTTACCATACTGATTGATTGATGAAATGCACAAGATGCTTGTGAGCATGCCTAAAGAATTATCACTATTATATTTCAGTATCTAATGTTATCTAACCTTATAAGTTTCTAATTTTTACATGTTAGTTACTTTTAGAGAATAAAAAAGAACATGCATGAAAAATAAGAAGTATGTCACTCACATGTAACATGTTATTTATTTGCTGTCAGCTACTGATAAATATTAAGCCTACTTTTCTATACTAAAGGTACTATTATTATATTACATAATCTATATTTACATAAATAATGTATCTAAGAACACAGAATGATAACAAGCACAAAGCAAATAATGTTCTATAACTATCATAATTTATCTGGCTTTCTATTTATGTCATAAGAGCCTTTAAAAATTTAGCTAAATTTGTCGATCTGGACACTAGACAGAAACTTTCAAACTGAAAACAAAATAGAAAATACTCTGTATATAAAACAAGGTAATATATATCATCTGACAGATTAAAACCTTGGCTTTCTATATTATAAATAATATAGTATGAAATATCAAAGATAACTATCGGAAACTTGTGAAAGAGAGGATGTGACAGGTGGGTGTGGGTTTTCTAGTTTATGGCTCCATAAACAAATAAGATTGAAAGCTATACAAATTATGCTTGGCCTTAGTAATATCTATATTATACAAAGTAATATACATTAAATTCCATACTTCTTAGAGGGGTGATAAATAAATTAGAGAAGAGGGAAGACCTAGAAAACAAGTGTCAATTCTCGTGCTAGGGGAAGTTTGAGGATTTTTTAAAATATTTCCTTACAAAACTAAGATCTTAAAACTTATATAATATTATGATTCTGTTTATTAACTATGTTTTAATGCCAAGTGTATTCATATAGAATGATGATAAAGTAGGTTAATTTTGAATGTAACTCCCTAACGAGTCGTGACATGGCCACTTTGACCTACCCATAGTAAGAGGGTTAATCCTGAGTGACCTGTTTCATCCAATTTATTGTCTTCCAAAATATTTTTTTATTAGCTTCTTCAAACAATTTTTCTTCTCTTCCCATTATCTGTCTTCTTATCCCAGTTTTTTTCATCTTCCAGTTGTCTTCCAATTTTTTGCTAGTTTCTTCAAGTTCCATTTGTTCACCCTCTTTCCTTTGTTTACCTTTAGTTATATTTGTTCATATTCAAGCCTTTACCTGTACCCATCATGAACATGTAGTCCTGCTTCTAGCAAGTTCTTTGTTATGGGTATTTCTGAAACTTTGACCCGACAAACTTTTACTGCATCCTTTGCCATCCTGCTTGTCAGCATTTCTTGTTATTGAAGCTATGTCATGTCTTGACAATAATCTTCTGAGGAGCACGTCTTGACAACAATCTTCTGAAGACTATGTCAAGTCTTGACAATAATCTTCTGAGGAGCATGTCTTGACAACAATCTTCTGAAGACTATGTCAAGTCTTGACAATAATCTTCTGAGGAGCATATCTTCAATAACAACTGGCCATTAAAAAAACTGAAATAAAAGGAGATCCTCAGAAGATTATTGTCAAGACATGATATAGTCTTCAGAAGATTGTTGTCAAGACATGATATAGTCTTCAGCAGATTATTGTCAAGACATGACATAGTCCTCAGAAGATTATTGTCAAGACATGATATAGTCTTCAGAAGATTGTTGTCAAGACATGATATAGTCTTCAGAAGATTGTTGTCAAGACATGATATAGTCCTCAGCAGATTATTATCAAGACTGTATATAGTCCTCAGAAGATTGTTGTCAAGACGTGCTCCTCAGAAGATTGTTCTCAAGACATGATATAGTCTTCAGAAGATTGTTCTCAAGACATGATATAGTCTTCAGAAGATTGTTGTCAAGACATGATATAGTCTTCAGAAGATTGTTGTCAAGACATAATATAGTCCTCAGAAGATTGTTGTCAAGACATGATATAGTCTTCAGAAGGTGGTTCTTCTGGAGCTATTTCATAACATTCTTCAAACTGTCCTCAGGTTCATGGTGGTAAATGTTTGGAGTTTGGGTTTCTTTTGAAATAATGATTGATTAAATATCCCAACTTTCATGATAATTAACTGACTTCCCTGTTTTTCAATATCAATCAACAGAAGTTTCTTCTCTTGTTGTGTGGTCTCACGTTCAAAGATGTCAGCCAAACTCAAGTTTGTTAATTTTTACATTTTTGTAACGTGAAAAACATTTAAACATCTCCATAAATCTATCAAACAAAGATTGCAAGTTCAGGGGAAAGTGAATTCGTGCCAATGTTGATATTGTCTTCAGCAGTCGACAGATGCAAAAAATACTGTTTGTTCTTGTCAAGTGTAGTTGTTTTATAGCCCCGAGCTGTCTTTGACAAGAAATATTCAAATACGGGCTCCCGGGTTCTTGACAATACGTTGCAATGCTGGAACACAATATCAACTGACTGAGATGCACCCGTTATTAAACTCGAAATATCCATGTGGTATTCCGTGTGAAGATATATATTCAAACTTTAATTACAGGTCTCCAAACACGACGTAAAAATGAACATACTGTAAAATCTCTTGAAAACAGACCCTCGGAATCTAACCATCCTCTGTAAATTGGACACTTATTCTGTTGCTTTAAATGTACACCTCAGTAATCCAATAAAAAACTTTGAGATTTCACTCAACCATTACACAACCAGACATGAACGAATGAAGTGCCATTACATTTCTCAGTTCTTCTGGACTGGAAATATTATGGAATACTTCCATTTAATTACCACTTACCATATTAAAAGGGTGATATGGGTGTAATTACTACTTACCATATTAAAAGGGTGATATGGGTGT